ATTTCTCTTCCTCTTGTTGCTACTTTCATCTCGATGCAATACCATGAGATTCTGCACGTTCAATATCCTCATCCTACAGTCCTGCTTCCGGAGTTTCGAGTACGTATGTTCAGTAACAGAAAAAGGAGAAAACACCAACGCGATTGTGAAAGCGGAGAAAATACCGACCCGACCCGATGGTTATATTTTTTTTACGATGAGTGGAGAACTAAAATATGTTTCCCTTTATGCCCCTTCAGCTCTGAATCCACTGTAACACAGTGACATGGTGGAAAAGAGACTTTACTAATGCGTGCTTGAGACGGCGGTTATTTGGCAAGTGGAGCTGGTATAAGTAATTTATATAGTTTGGCCAGAAGTGGCTTAACGAATTAAGTTGCATAGAACTGTTGCATGTGTTCTGATCCGTTTTATAAATATGCTCTTGCAGTTTGTATACTGAATCCTCTCAAACATCAACATCACTTTTCCTAGAAGGAACTTCAAGACAGCGCAGTTATTTTTCTAAATTATTGCTATCATCACAGGTAGCTGCAAATTACAACGTGGTTAAGGTATTTTCGAACGCTAACATGTTTGCTCGAAGAAGTACATCCATTGTGGATTTGCCGAACTGTGGGTCTCAACTCTGAGTATGTAAATTTTTGACTAAACAACGCAACATGAATGGCGTTACCAGGTTAACAAATATTGGTTTATTTAAGAAAAATAGCAGCATAATAGCTCTAATGTATCAGTGATTATAGCGGTGTGCTTACAACACACAACAAAAGATAATACTGCTTGCGCATACTGAGAGCTCTACATTTGAATCAACAACACGAATTGAGGAATCATGAAGGAGGTGAAGACAGTATGAGGATATATTTTTCGGTGATTAATTAACACGATGCTAATCAGCACTTTATTCTGCTAACGTTTCGACACTTTGGACTTCTTCAGACCCGGTTTGGTCAGAGTCCATTGTACATGGTTGTTCCCCCTTCCGATGTTTTCGTGATTGCATCAAGTCGAACCCAACTGGGCAACGATAATGATACCGACTACGACAAGATCGACAATCTGGAGGAGAGCAGACGACTAACAGCTGGCAATCACTATCAACAACCTCCCTGAATGAAGGAGCTCTGCTGATTGAGGCGATTTCATTCGGGCTGTGCTCTTGTGGATCCGATTAGATGCAATCACGGAGACCCATACTGGAAGAAGGAACAGCTTTGGACAATCGACTCGAATCATCCCGGCTATGAAGAAGGCGAAGCCACCGAAAGGTTACTCGAATGAGTTTTTTATCAACATGTTCCAAGTGTTAATTTATCGAAGTAAAAAATACATGTTCATCAGTTCTACCGTAGTTGGAAGAAAAATTCTCCACTAAAAAATCTCTGAAAATTTAAATAAATTTTTTTTTGTTGGGAATTTTTTCACTTTTAAGAGTAAAACGTGATATCTACAAGTGCCATCAGCTATCACTCGTTAGCGGGACTGATCTGGAGAATGAAAATCGGCAATGAACCCAGTAAGTCGAGGCTACAGTTGAAACCTCAATGTTGACATTTTATACTCTGCCTGATACAATTTTTCATGGCAGAATATTGTTAAATACAAAAATACAACGTGTTAAAAATACAACAACGTGGAATGTGTTAAATACAACCATAATAATGCTGAAATATTTGCAAACCTCCGGACTGCAGATGTCTACGGTGGGGAACGAAGGCACTATCGCCCTTTCCGGTGCCGTACGCGTTCACTGCCACACCATGCGGGTCATTCGTTTCGCCTCTCTCCCAACTAGTTTTCTTTTCTTTTTCTATTTTATTTTGTTTTATTTGATCCATCTTCAAGTCTACTGTGTGGATCGTAGCACTTCTCACATCCAATTCGTTTCACAGTATACATCTTCCACGAGGATCCTCCAAGTTTTTTTACGTGTGGATTCGATTGCTGCTTGAGGATCTTCATTTCATCTTGAATGTCGTAAAACGCTGGTCGAGCAGTTCTTTCTGAAGTCCTGAGATAGCCGGGATGGAGCGTTCCTGGGTTGTAGAAAGTGATTTCTTCCCAGACAAGTCCGATACCAGTTTACCGAACCCGGGGGGATGAGAAGCTTGTATTGCCTGCGGTGGAATCGGAATAGCACCATGCTCGTGATGACGGACATCACTACCATTGCGTTATCCGCCCTCTGCTAGTTTTCTGGTCACATATAATCCTCGAGAAGCGTTTTGAAGCTCGATTAAAGAGCTACTTCAAATTAATACGAAATAGAAAACGTTTTCTCTCGTTCTTCTTCCCCCCCCCCACCACCCCTTACTTGTTTCAATAATAATGGCGAGCTAGAACTGTGTAAGCAGACATAAATCTGCATTCCGATGGAGTAACTAAACACTTATAATAGCTCTAAATGCTTTAAAATTTGTAAGAAGGAATTAGACTAGTCTGCCTTTAACTATATTTCAGCTATTCCATAGTCTCTCGTGTTCCGTGCTTTAAAACGAATTAATTCTAGATAGGAAGCGGAGCTTTCCATGTGAACTGCGGTCTACTACCACCCTTCAGGGACGATCTAGAATGTTTGAGCTTTGCAGGTGAACCTACTTAAAACTAACTTTATGTGAGAATGTTAAACAATTTTTTTATCCTAAGCGTCCTTAGGATTATGAGGCTGGAGAATTTTTTATAGACAGTCCTAAGAAAATAATTCATTTAATAGCTGCACCTAAACGAAGTTGTGATTCTTCAGAGATCAGTGCATTATTTTCTTACTCACGACGGTTTTAGATGTTATGAAGTCTTTTTGGTAGTCCATCCCAACGGTTCACCGCCTCATTATACATGAGAGGTGTTCCTGGGTGTTGCGCTGCAATGCATAGCGAGGAGATTCATCTCCCCACCAGGGTCTCAGGCTGAGATGGAGACCGGAGTTTCCATTAAGAAAATCACTCAAGAGTAAACCAGTACCAGGATCCACCGTCGTCCTGGTATCAAACTAGATGCATGGTGGCAAATCTCCTCCAGAAGGGTGGCGATTGCCTGTGGTGATGTCGACCAGGGGCAGACTTTGGCTTTGCCGACCTTGGACTCCAGAGAGCCGCAATTGCTAAACCAGCAAAACTCCGAAACCGTAGAAATTATGCTCGGGCGCACACCACCAGTGAAAACCAGCCATCCAAGTAAAAATAAAAAAAAGTGTTTTGCTAGCCATCAAATTAGGAAAAGGAACAGCTAATCTTGGGACGAGTAGCGCAGTGGTCGTAGGACACATAGGCCTATCCTATATATCACATATCCTTACGCCCATGGCTCACCAAGCCTTCCATCCCTTCGGTGGTCGGCAAATTCTATCAGACTTATCTGGGAGGTTAAAAGCACTTGCTCGATACACTGTAAGACCACTGTGAGTATAGGCCAGATATGCATTCAATCACCTGCAACGATGCATGATGAAGATGAATACAAGGTGCATCCCTCAGAGATTAACCAACGCCGAAAGCTCTACCTTTTGGTTTTCCATTTAACAGTTGGTGTTAAGTTAAAAAAAAAAAGCTGGTTCAAGAACATGAGGAAGAAAATAACCACACCGAGTTTAGACAAGCAATTAAGGTCCTGAGTGGATTGACTGCAGCGGTAATTTGCCTGCTACAAGGTTACTTTAAAATATTCGTAATGTTGTACCTGATAAATTAGCATGAGTTAAATATGTTATGTTTACTTATGTTTTCCTATATTTCGTCCATAATGGGCTAGCTATTGCTACTCAATGCTAATGTGTTGATTTTAGTAATGATATTGGAGTCGGGGGTTGTACGACAAAGGCGAAAAGCTGTAAAAAAGGTTGTTGAGGAACTTGATATTTTTGAAAAATTTCTGGACAATATCAAGGAAGAGAAGAAATCATCCTCGGGTTTAAGTGAGTTCTTGTAAGCATCGTGTAATTTGTTTCTATAGATCCTTATGAAGATGGTCAGCTCGGGGTGGCTAGTGCACTGGAATTTATTTCTTCCTTGGGAGACATTGTTCGATCTCCCTTTAATTCCTTACGGGGGTTTTGTCTTCATATGGTGTTTCAGTATATTTTCGGTGTTTAGGAATCCCAACACTTTTACGTTTGTTAACCGTTGGTGAAGAAATTTCCTTCTTGAAAAACTGGGCTGATCACCTGGTCTCTGGCCGTTCAAATTGGTAGCGCAGTTAGCTTGGTCATTAATGATGCTTATTTTATTAATTACTCGCTTAATAGTTAAAATCAGTTCTATGAAAATATGCGGTTAAGTAGCCCTCGTCTGTTTTTTCGTCGTTTTCTGCCTCGTCGTTGGTGAAGTGGTTCACTACATCTCTGGAGAGAAGGAATATAACTATCGATTTGATGTGGATACAGCGTTATTCGAGTGAGCTTCTACTTACATTTTCTTTTAATCTTTGGATTTTTTGAAGTTTTGAGTTGACTGTCTTCATTATTCCATCACTCAGTTGCCATCGGTAATATGACTTAGGTCCCGGCTCGTCAAGCCTACCAAGCCCTCCATCGCTCCGGAGTTGGCAAATTGGTACGGGACTTGTTTGGGAGGGTAGCAGCACTCGCTCGAGACTTCGGTAGCCCACCGCGAGTCATTGTAAAGGCCAAATATGCATTCATTTACCTTTACGATGCTCAATGAAGTTGAATGCGTGGCGCATCCAACTGGGATTGATCAACGCTGAGAGCTTTATGTTTTTCTAATCTGAGCGTATAATAAAAAAGAATGTTTTCGGAGGTTAAGTCCTTTATTCCCTTCTTTACATCTTCATGCTTTCAAGTTCTAACAATGTCTATAGTCCTACTGATCTTATCTTACAACATTTAGTTTGCCTGATCTCGATATCGATATGGTCATAGCAACACCATGTAATAACCTGGCTGTGGTTAGTACCATGGATGAAAGTGTAGGGCTATTTGCTCCATTGCAACAAAGCATCAAGAAGGACCCTACTAGGTAAATCTTAAGCGCTGATAGTGATATTGTTTACCAAGATTATTTGTCTATAAATGCTTTTCATGTAAGAGTGATTCCAGTTCTGTTCTGACCTATTAGAGAGCTATCGGGTTTTGAAACCGAAGCTTTTACCTAGTTCTATCATTTAAACAAAATATCAGTTATAGATTCGAATTTACCGAAGAAGAGCAAATGTACTGGACTATACTTCGACACGCACATTCCGCGATGAACAACGGTGGACTTCGAGGTCTTGAGGAGGTAAATGGTAACCACGTCCAAAAGTTCGCATTATCCTTTTAGGATTTTTTTTTGTTATAAGTGAACAGCCTTGACATACAGTTCAAACTGATGCAGCTTTCCGAAAGTAATGCGTCAGCCATGTTTTATCTTCTTCAAAAATCAAGTTCCCATTGCTAGCTATTACTATTTTCTTCTTGTTTCTTCAAATTCTTCACTCTTTAGTTGCAATATGTCGACTCCGATGTACAAGAGAACTTAGAAAAACTTGCTAATCAGAAGCAGAGTGATGAAGCGGAAGCAATTAACCAGCAACGGAAAGCGCAAGAACAAAACGGCGAAGCTGAACAGGGAAACTTCGTATGCTGTTTGAATTGCTGCTCTCTTTCCTACTGTAAAAAAAACTAATTATTAGGCTGATTTTTATTTCTAGATCTTTATGATTGGAAATGGGATGGGAATGTTCCAGATTGTTGCTTCTAAAGGTGATGATGAAGGTATAAGAATGTTTAAGAGTTGCCGTTTGTTTTTCCTTTATTAAGAAATGCTAGGCTGTTTTCTCAATTTCAAACAACGATTTTTGTATTTGCAAACGATGTTGAGATATGGAGTTGATCATTCAAGTAAATAGGAGTAGCGTTCAGTATCCGAATAACAGTTCATGAGCTATCGTCACTTTTTTATTTACTCGCAACGGTTTTTTAATGGCGGGGTATTATGCGAAATCAACCACGGTGAGGCTGAGATATTTGCAAAACTCCGAACCGCCGTTGACTGCGGTGGGGATCGAACTCGCCAGTACCTTTCCTGGGGCTAACGCGTTCACCACCACACCATGCAAGTTCTTCGTTTCGTCTTTTTGTCAGCCGTGTTATTGACCTATAGGTGCTATCAGCAATCTATAGGCCCGTAGGCACTGTCAGCAAAGTGCATGAGATAGTAGTCGGGAATTTTCGAACATCCCACCCAAGAATACAGTACCAAATCGTTTTTCGGTTATTACATCCACTGGCACACCATCATGGATCGGTAGGATTTCCTTCAGCTTGAAATGACGAAAATTCTTGAAATTCTTCCTGGACGGGGACTTTTTTTTGTTGTTTTATTCTTAATCGGTCTTCCATGTAGAAATACCGAACTACCCAACATTGTTGGTGTTCTGGTGATAAATACCCTGTTGTAGATCCCCTTTTAACTTCCGAGAGCACCAGTTAGCCCCATCGAGGCCGTAAACAATAGAGGAGTGCGGCACATTGACTATGGTGTTATGAATAGGAAAAGCTTTTTTTGCAATTGAGATATCATTTTGTTAGTTCCTATCCCCTTTCCTACGGTTTACCGTCTCATCGTGGCTGGGAGATGTTCCTGGGTGTCGGGCCACGATGTACAGTGGGAGGATTCATTCCCCGGCAGGGTCTTCTAATCTGAGAAGGAGTCCGGCCTTTCAGCCAAGAAACCCAGCGAAGAGTAAAGTACTACCAGCATTCACCACCGACCTGGTATCAAACTAGTCATATGGAGGCAAATCACCCTCTGATCCACGAGGATGGCGACTGCATGTGGTGATGACGACCTGGGGAGACTTTGACCAGGCTGACCTCGGGACTCCAGGAGGACACAATTGCTAAACCAGCAAGACCCCAAAACAATAGAAATTATGCTAGGGCCCGCATAACCATTGAGGAACCGCCGTCCAAGTATCCAACGAAGTTCTTGACCCAATCACTTTGGGTATGGGATTGTTTAGAAATACGAAGAAAACTTTACCTTTTGTATTTTCTTACTCTCATGAAATCTGGATTTAATGGAGACCTGTACAGATAGATCTCAATCAAATAAGTTCACCACTGTTTTTTTTCTCTCGAACTGATCAATTCTTTATATATAGCAAAGTTTTGCTCTTGTATTTCCGAGGGAAGGTGAATTTCTTCTGTTTTTTCAAATTTCTTTTAAGGAACTGCGTGCAGAGTTCATGGGAAGTTTCCAGTTCGTAAAGGAAAGGAAGAAAAGATTACAATTTCCATAGGGTCCTCCTTAGGGCTTGGATTGTTTCAAGAAATCGCACATCTTGGGGGGATGAAGCAGAGTATGTTTTATTTTTGCTCTGTTTTTTAAATTCTATAGATAACTTTTCGAAAGTGGATTTTTAAGGTGGAAACATATCCCATCGCGTCGAAAAATTCAACTTTGGGCCCAGGGTGAGAGGCCTCGTTACTCCACTTGCTGGTGCTGAACAGATTTCACAAAGTGGTGAGCTTGTATAGAAATATTTTCATTGTTCAGAACATCCTACCTCTTTGAAAATTGACTTTTATTTGGTCTCTGAGTAGTCAGTATTTTGATCTCTTCTTTAGCCTACACGAGGCAGTTATAATGAAATTCTTTCGAAAAACATCCTAAAGCTCAACTTATTCGTTTTAACCTTCTATGACATAGAAGTAGAATTAGTGTTTACATTCTTGTTTTTTAAAGAATATCAATGTAATATAACAAACGATGGAGAAAATCTGACTATCCTGACGAACATAAATTGGATATGGGTCTACTAATAACTCTCCTATGTTGGAGTACAAACTTATGAAGAAAAACATAACTTCGACTTTAAAATGTTTTCACATGGTAGCAAATATCTCTACTAATTTGTAGAAGTATTCATAATTGAAGCCATCGTACCGAAATTGCTTCTATTCCAGAACAGCACTTTAGGTCAGGACATCTATCGGTACTTCATCAAAGTTGTTCCAACTAAAATTTATCACGGACTCTTCGGCAGATTTACAATGACGTATCAGTATTCAGTCACATTTCTGGTAGATTGTCATTTCTTCTATTATTGTTCCTTCTAATGCTATCTTTGTCTATTGTGTTATATGTGCATGTTTTAGAAGAAGAAACTTAACGATGGTCAACACAGTCATGGTGGTATTCTCTTTGAGTACGAATTTTGTGCCAACGTAATCGAAATCAGAGAAACGGCTAGGTAGATTGCAACAATTTTATTTCTCGTCAATGTTCGTTACGATAAGACGCGTGTGGCGCATTGGTCGGAGGCGCCTGCAACAAACACATGGGTTCGATCCCAGCCAGGTGACTCACCTAGTCTTCCATCCTCCTGGGGTCGGTAAATTGGTACCACACATTTGTCTGGGAGGATTGCAGCACTGCCTGAATACATCGGAAGGCCACGTATGCATTCAATCACCTCCAATGTTGCCTAATGAAGTCGAGTGCATGGCGCATCCCTGAGTGATTGATCAACGCCGAGAGCTTTATTTTTTATCCTTGTTTATTTACGGCTACTCGTTTTATCTTCATGTAAATTCATTTATCCTTGACTCTTTTGTGCATCAGTTATCTGCTCTTGTGCATTTTCAGGTCGATAGTTACCCTATTTTTGCGTCTGTGTGCCGTAATCGGTGGCGTGTTTGCCACTAGTCGTATCGTCAACGATATTATTCAGTTGATACTGAATCTCGTAGCAAAAGGTAAATCTTCTTCGTTATCTTCTCGAGATTCTGAACACTCATCATTATGGAACTCCGGTGTTAATGGATGCTAGTTGCGATTTTTGTTCTTGTTGTTGTTGTACAGAGCTTTGATTGTTTTTGTATTTAAATTATGTTATTTGATCATAGGTGTTTGAATCGACTTTTAGTGGTTATACCGCCGTACATGGAATAGGAAATATGAAGGTTGTTTTCTCGGGATTTTTTTCTGTGTTGTTCACGGGGTGTTGGCAAATTTAGGGGAAAATAAATTGTTGCTGTGTGCTTATCATTGTTTTATTTTTGGTCACCACTACCTCTTTCATATTTCTTAAAACACAAGAATGTGCGTAGCTTATCCTTTATCTACACGGCTGTAGGCAAGCAATTTGCTGACTGCGATTAATAAACTGACGTCATAGTTTCTGATACCAAAATTTGCCAGTTGTATACAGTCTTCTTATTGGGTTGCACTAGTTGGAGATCATGGGACGTTACTTAGAGTGTGAATTGCCATTAAAGGTAGGTTCTTCAGGTGCTTGCTTTTGATCCTTTCAGCATGAAGGGAAGCGCAATAGATTTATTACTCCAATCAGTGGTCTTTCACACTCTGTATGAGGAGATTCCTTACTCATTCTCTTAGTTACTTGCATTTGCTCATTTTGCTTCAGCCTGATGGGTCTATCACATGGTTCATCCATGTTATGACTGTTATGGCAGAACATTCTTGTGAGACGAGGAAAATTTGATAAGATTTTATTGTTGACTTCTGTTTCTACTTTCCGCTTAACTGTTTTTTTCTGAAGGAAACATGTCAGATGCAGGAAATGAAGCGATTTGATATCACAAAGTTAAGTGGAGTATGAGTTGAAAATTTCTATGTTTAGCGATGTCATTAGTGAGTCTGATTTACCTGTTCAATGAATGAAACACAGGACACATTTGCCTTTCTATTGGTTTCCTTAAGACGCGTGCAGCACAGTGGTCGTAGTCCCACTGCAACACATGGGATTGATCCCTAGGCCTGTCAAGTCCTCCATCCCTCCGGAGTCGGTAAATTGATACCAAACTTGTCTGGGAGGATGGCATAACTGGGTCTATACATCGGTAGGCCAACGCTAGCCGTTGTAAAGGCCAGATGTGCATTCAATCACCCCAATGACGTTCAATGAAGTCGAATGTATGGCGCATCCCTCATGGATAGATCAACGCCGAGATCTTTATCCTTTATTGGTTCTCGTTAGTCATTGTTCAATGAAAATCCTGGTTGTGCTTCAGTTCCCTAGTGGATTTACAGAGTAGATACGAATATATCAGCACTTTACATTTAGATTGTTCAGTGTTGTAAAATCAACTCCTTATCTTATGTTATCATTGTCCTTGTGCCTTCCGTTGAGTCACTAGTTTGTTATAAAATGGTGACCCTAAGAGCTGTGATTCATCACGGTTCACGTTAATGTACATAATATGTGTAGCACATGATTTCTTATCCAACTTTATTCTGTGCATGTAATTTGGGTCAATTAAGTCTTGTTCGTGGAACGGTTCTATTGTTACTTTCTTACTTGAATACTAAGCTGGCCCGTCGTCACTGGTTGTGCGGACCTCAGCAAAATTTCGATTTTTCGGAGTCTTGCTGGTTAAGTATTGTGGTTCTCTGGAGTCTCGGGATCAGCCTAGCCAAAGTCAGCCGCGGTCGTCACCACCACAGGCACTCCACTCTTGTGAATCAGAGAGAAGTTTGCCATCATGCGACTAGTTTGATACTAGGACGCTGGTGGATCCTGGTATTGTTTTACTCTTAGCTAGGCTTCCTGATGGAAACGTTGGACTCCTCAGCTTGGGAGGCCTTGGCCTGGGATGGATCCCCCGCTGTACATCGCAATGCGACACCCAGGAACACCTCCCAGCCACGATAAGGTGGTAAACCGTTGGGAGGATTTTGTAATGGGTACATAAAATAAGTAAGGTAAATGATAACCTTGTAGGAGGAAATTACCTACTGTACCATCTTACAGATCCGCACAGAATAAATCGATTTATGAACTTAATAATAGCCATAGGTGTAATATTTGATCAACAAGGTCGAATAGATCGTTTCCCTTTCAGTCGACGACTTTAGTTTAGGGTTGTCAACGTTAGGAATAGAGTTAATCTATGCCAATGTAACGTTCAGAGTTCGACGTCTAAGTGAATTTCCAATGGTGTGTGGAAGGCAGATCAATCATACGAAGTGAATTGATTTGAACTCACATCGCTCTTGAAGAAAATATAGTCGTGGGTGCACGCGTCCTCCATGTCAAAGTAATTTTTGGACTGTACGTGTTCAGTAGCGGTTATCAGAGCTTCTGTTGCGTTCGTTATTTTTCTATTTTTTGTTTTGCTTCTTTCCTGTTCGCTGTAATGTGTCCATGCTCCATCTCGTTCACATATTTGTTTTGGTTGTATCGTTCTCTTTTAACGAAAAATTATGTGTTTTTACCATTGTTCAGGTTTATACTACGTTCCTAATTCATCACTTCTTTAATCTCTCGATCGTTTACAGACAGTATTTTCTTAAATCCAAAAAAGTGCTATAAATTGGTTTTGTACTGATGTTTTGATCAGGAATGCTTATACTGCAAGACTTTATTGTTTTATAAACTTACGCTTTAGCTTTTCTGGAACAGTTTTCTTTTTTGGGAAACATGGCTCGACAAGAGTTTTCGTGAGTGTTACTTGTTTTTATTTAGAAAGGAGTATTTCGTTTGGAATGGAAGTGCTCGTACTTTAGATATCTCCCAAAAATTGTAAATGGAGGAATAGCCGGTATAGTAGGAGTAACTTGCGTATTTCCCATCGATCTAGTCAAGACTCGCCTTCAGAATCAACCGATTTTGCGGAATGGTGAAGCCCAGTACAAGGGAATGTGAGTTCTTAACATTAACATTCCACCTTTATCCCTTTTCACTTGCTTTTTTTGCCAGTGTTCTGTATGGCATTTTTATTGTGACGTTTCGTTTTCTCTATATGGGCACGTTAAGTCTTTTTCGAAGGACGAATTGTTGCTGTAGTAGAAGAATCACAATGTATTAGCCTTCCTTTTCATCCATTGTAGCCAACAACTGCCTCTAATGATCACATGGGAACTCTCTAGAAAGCCTGTTTTGGTTTCTGAGTGGAAACCCCGTTGGTCTAGTACGGAAGATGTCAGTTAGGAGAGAAGACGAAGCATTGGGCTGCACAGAATCTACGCATAAATCGAAACACCTCTATGGATGGCCGTTGCAAAACAACGAAAAGAGTCAGAAAAAAACATCAACGAATCAGGGATTCTATTGACATTTGAGAGCGCTTCATCTAAATAAATAACTTCTTCACTTACTCCGTGGATAAAAACACCCATGTTTTTTCGTTATGTGGTGGGAACTGTTTGCTTAAAACATGCGCTCTTGCACAGTTCGTTTGAGTGACGATGTTAGCCTACTTTTCTGACTAAAATAGACTTAAGTAATGCACTTTATGAAAAGATTTCGATGATTATGAGTGCTTGTGGGATAGGAATTCTAACTGTTGTTTCATACATTCCATTCGCTGTTGAATGCTATCACAAGCGCTTTTAGCGAAAAATACTGAGATGGTGGATTTGTTTAACATCACGATTCCGTTACATAGCTCTTCATTCTGCTTTGACTGTGTTTTTTGAAGCAGTACTGAACAGCATTTAAATGAGGATATTTTTGTTTATTGATCGCAATCTGTTTAAACTCTCCAACTCATCTATGTGCATGCCCCCGGATGGTCAAAATGGGCGATATCACTGTGAAATTCATTATTGATCGTGTGGAATATTTCTCCCCTCTTGTCCATAGACGATCTTGTTATGGTGCTAGGTAAAAAGTTATTATTTTATGAAACACTTCTTCCGTCACTCCGGGGTTTGCAAATTGGTACCAGACTTGTTTGGGAGGATAACAGCACTGGCTCAATAGATCGGTAGGCCACTGCGAGTTATTGTAAAGGCCAGATATGCATTCAACCACCTCCAACGATATTTAATGAAGTCGAATCCCTGAGGGATAAATCAACGCCGAGAGTTTTATCCTTTTCCCTTTGTCCTTAAGTGTGATTTTTAAAATAGAGATCTTAACACATCAGCGGCGATGAGCATTGTTATCAATACAATCTACAACCAATGAAGTATTCGTTATCCTGTGCGACAGCAGAGACCAAAAACCACGCGTTTACGTTTCTAATGTGTTAAGAAGTAAATTTTGCCTTCCTTATGACTGGAAGAAATGATCCATTTCTAAGTGATCCATTTTGCTGGCAAAATTCTTATTATCAAATATTTAGCTACTTAAAGTGTATTTGTAGTCATATATGCACTGAAAGAAATCGTTTGTGAATCAGTTACTGTTCACATAAGAGCGAAAAAACTGTCTATAGAGCGAAAAGCAAATTTTATCATGAAATTCTCCATATATTAAGCATTTCAGAGTAGATTGTGCGGTGCAGACCTGGAGATCTGGTGGGACATCCTTGTTCTTGAAGGTTTGTATGAAGTCATGTTATGAATTTTTAAACGGCATTGCTTGCCTCCAAACATGGGCACATTACGGATTTATAGTTCTCATCGAAAAGAAGCCAGGTATCTTTTCGACGGAGAGTTTTAAGATATGCTATTATTTTGTGCGATACGCATTATTTGTTTAGGTTCGAGCGTTATACTCCGGATCTGCCGTTAACATTATTCTGATAACTCCTGAAAAAGCCATAAAATTGGTTGCAAACGACTTTTTCCGCCACAATCTAGCTGTTCCTGGAGAGAAGTATCTATAACACACCTTTGAATCCCAGTAGTTCTAAAACACGCTTTTATATGATAGTGTCTAGTTTTGTTTTTGTTTCTTACAGAAGCCTTTCACTATGGCGAGGAATGATTGCGGGAGGATTGGCGGGAATGTTTCAGATTATTGTAACTACACCTATGGAGCTTCTAAAGATACAAATGCAAGATCAAGGACGAACAACAGGTAACATATGTCATTTCGGAAAATTTCGTTAAAATGTGAAGATAATTCTTCACATTTACACAAATTTCCTTCAAGTTCCTGGTCAAAAGAAAATGACAGCATTGGAACTCACCACGAAACTTTTCAAAGAGCGAGGTATTGCTGGATTGTACAAGTATGTTAATTTCTTCACTTTTCTTTTTTGCTATTCTTCGTGTAATTCGGTGCCTCATTACTCTCAGAGGTTTGGGGCCAACTTTTGCAAGAGACGTCACATTTTCGGTTATCTATTTTCCTATGTTCGCTTATCTGGACTCGCTGGTAAGCGATTACTTTTCGCTTTTTTTTTCGTTAAAGATATGTAGGAGTTAATTACATGAATTCTATCCTGTCGTAGGGGCCTCGCAAAAATGACGGAAGTGGTAATGCTGTCTTCTGGACATCATTCTTTGCAGGGCTTACTTCAGGAGCTTTGTCATCGTTTGCTGTAACTCCACTAGACGGTACCAATGCCTTGTTTCTCTTTCTTCTTTTTTTTCATCCAATATCACATTTTTAGTAATTAAAACGAGGATTCAAACTATCAATAAGGGAGCTAACGAAGTAAGATACAAGAATGTTGTTGACGCCTTCACGTAAGTATCCTAATCTTATCTACCTTCTCTGCACGATTTCTGTTGATGGAAGTATAATTGGAGCTGAACAAAATGCATCTCAGGAGAATTCTCGAGTTGGAGGGATCTCGCGCTCTTTTCAAAGGCGCCGCTTGTCGAATGATGGTCATGGCTCCTCTTTTTGGTATCGCCCAAACAGTGTACTATATTGGAGTTGCCGAGAAGATTCTGGGCGTCAAAAAGTTCGGTCATGTCTGAGTTATCAGGAGCAAATCTGAGATATGTTCAGTGATCACGGTGTAGTTAGGACATCTCAAACGTCTTTTCGAAGGCAAATTCTCCATTTGTAGGAAATGAATCCATTGACACCTATAATTCCAAACAATGTTTGGTTCTTCGTTGTATCTTACCTCATTGCGGGAATTATGTTGCACCGATTGTATTGTTTGTTTATTTTAGATTGAAGGCGTCTATCTTATGGCTGTTTATGGTTCCCTTATGCTGTCGTCAATTTATTGCGTAAACTTAACCAAACGAAAGACAAAGAAGCATCACGAATAATAGCGACGTCCCCGCAAAAGTTCCATTTTACTAGTAAATTGTCATTTTGGAATTACTTTCCCCGGGGTTCGAGAAGACCCATGCCAGAGCGTTCGCATATAACCACCACTTACTGTCCGCTTTTATTATTAGAGGTTCTTCGTCCATTTGTGACCAACTTTACATTAAGATGGTAAGAACCTCTTTAAAAAGTCTCACTACTTGTGAATTGCTTCCGATTGAGGATTTCCGGTTACTTCTTAGTTTATTTGGCTCTACTGATGAGATTGACACCTGCTGAACAATGTAGTTTTACGCTTAAAAAATTCAGTCTTGATAAAAGGATAACCACTGGACAGGTGATGTGAAGTTCGTATGATATATTTACAAACTTGGATACTTGGATGGCCCCTTTTCTGTGATGTGCGGGCCCTACTGTAGTTTACAATTTTCTTCAGCTTAGCGTAAGTTTTCCTCAGGTTGTCACCACCCTATGCAGTTGCCGCCATTGTAGATCAGAGGGAAATTTTCCACCATGCGACTAGTTTTATACTAAGAAGGTGGTGATTCTTGGTATTAGGTTGCTCTTAGCTAGGCTTCCGGATGGAAACGCCGGACTACTTAGCTTGGGAGACCCTGCCAGGGGATGAATCCTCCGCTGTATATCGCAGTCCGACACCCAGGAACACTTCCCAGTCACGATGAGGAGTAAACTGTTGGGAGGGCATGCGATATAACCTTACTAAATCGTTTTTTGTCAGATCTATTGTTTTCGTTTAGTTTTTCTGCTAGATGCGTGATTCATCGTGAAAACGGACGATGGAAGTTCGACCTCAATGAACGAAGACGAGTGAACAAGAGTTGCTAAACAAGCGAATTCTGATTTGCTATGTTCAGATGTGATTGCTTAAGAAAAGTGAAGGCGAAGAAAAACTGCCAGAGATGTTAAGAAAATTGTCAGCCAAAGAGATGAACCATGTGATCCATAAAACCAACGAAAGTAAAAAAGAGATCGTATCCATAGTCATACATCACTCCAGTGTTCGTTTTGTTTCCTCTCATACATACCTACCTTTGTTGACTTCTCATAGCTATGGAATTTCAAATGATGCTGCACATCCACATGCAGTCGATAATCAGCAGTTCCGCAAAAACCATTGAGAGATTAGCACCTATAATGATTTCCATGATTTACTTGAGTTGTTGAATTTCGTTGATAGGGAAAAAACTTTATCTTATCACAAAGAAGGCAGTTAAATCACTCAAAAAGTTTAGAAAAGGAAAGACATTCAAGAGTAGGCTCAATACAAAGCGGCCGTCACAATGGTGTACGAAAGAATCAAATAACATTAATTATGGATATAACTACTATAATGCTGAGATATCTGCAACACTCCTGACCGCAGGTGTCTGCGGTGGGGAACGAACGCGCTATTGTCCGGGGAGTAATGCGTTCACCACCACACCATGCGGCCCCTTCGTTTCGCCTGTCTCTCAATTAGTTCTATCGATCTTTTGCCATCAGCAATCACCCGTCAACGGGATTGATCTGGGGAGCCCAAATCGGCATTGAACCCAGTTAAGCAGAGGCTATAGCTATAATTGCAATCCTAACCTTTTCATTTACTGCCTATTCTTTTTAACGGCAAGATATGCTGCGAAATATAACTTCAATAATACTGAGATATTTGATAGAACTAGCTAAGAGACAGGCGAAACAATGGACCCTCGTGGTGTGGTGGTGAACGCGCTACTCCCCGGAATGGAGAATAGCGCGTTCGTTCATCACCGCAGGCACCTGCAGTCAGGAGTTTTGCAAATATCTCAGCATTATAGTAGTTATATATCGCAGAATACCCTGCCGTTAAAAAGAATAGGCAGTGAATAAAAAGGTTAGGATTAAAGATGGAGTTAACCAAAATATAAAAGAATTATATATTTGCAGTGCAAACGGAGCTCAAAACTTCATGGCATTGAAAGAAGGAGAGTTTTAGGCTTGCAGTTAAGATAGTGATATCCAAATTACAACATGTGACTTTCTATTCACTACCTACTAGTTTTTTTTTCTTTTTTATGACACGTTATTATGTGAAGTACAACCACAACGATGCTGAGATATTTACAACATCAGATTCAAGCAAGCGATTAGCCTTCGCGGGAGCTCACATGCTCACATGTTACCCACGAAACCACTGATGGTCTTGCTGTGCCTTTCACTCGGCCACACTTATATTGAGCTCTTCTGTAAGTTCTTGAACATTTGCAGGCGTGTTTCCTTCCACCGTTGCCTTAAATTCATCATTGTCAATAGTAGAGGGACGTCAACAACCTCCTTCATATTCAAGGTCGAATTTTTTAAGACGGATATTTCCAAATTGTGAGAATTGTGACATGCGACGAGATGTGGACTCTATACGACAACTGGCCACGTTTAGCTCAGCTCAGTGGTTGGATTGCGACCAGGCTCTACAGCACTTCCTAAAGCCGAAATTGCACCAAAAAACGGTTATGGTGACTGCTTGGTTTTCTGCAACGGGGCTAATTCATCAAAGCTTTTGAACCTGGACGAAACGATTACGGCAGAGAAGTATTGCCAACAAATCGACGAATTGACCGTAAACTCTAGCAACAACAACTGGCGATGGTCAACAGAAAAGGACCAAGTTTTCTCTACGACATGACCTCATGTTGCGGAGCCAGCGCTGCAGAAGTTGAACGAGTTGGGCTACGAAACTTTGCTTCATCCGCCATGTTGATCAGACCTCTCGCCTACCGATTATCACTTCTTCAAGCACCTTGACTTCCTGCGTGAGAAATGCTTCACCAAACACGATGACGCAAAAAAAGCTTCCAGCGAATTCATCGCTTCCTGAACTCTAGAATTATATGCAAGTGGGATAAATAAACTTGATTCTGGTTGGCAAAAATGTGTAGGTGCAAGTGGTTTTTATTCCGATTAATGCAGTTTTGTGTGAAGCAAGTTATAATATAGTTAAAAACATTAATTTATTTCTGGACCACCTAATATTACACGAGCTCTGCAATGATGTATGACAGTACAGGATTCGAAACTAAAAGGGAAACTGCTGCGGAGAAATGTACAGGAAAGAGGAAATTACAAATCAGACATTAATTTTTGGAAGACCAAATAGTACATCATACTTGTCCGTACGGTGCCTTGCCTCACAGCGGTCTACAAGCAGTTAAGATCTGAGATTTTCGCCAGAAGTAATAAGATTTAAAGTCTAAACCCACGAAATGCTTTCACACCACTTCAAAATGAAAACCCCACAGCAATGATTATTGGTATAACACATCAGAGAATAGACCAATTTGGACGATTTTAGACACACCATTTGAAACGACTCATCATCTCAAGCCATACAACTTGCATGTTCAAATCTACTATATTTAAATCTTATCTTCAATCACTGCAATGGAAAGATTGCATTAGACACGTTTTTCAACACACAGCAAATCTAGCGTGCTGGAGCCGGAACCACGCCAAATTTCATGGCGGCTATGGAAGAAGTAAAAAAACTTTTCTGCGATTTAAACGCTCCAGTGCTACATTTGTCGACCACAGATGAGAAATCCTCGATAGCTTGCGTATTGGTAGAATTTAGAACATAGCAAGATTACGGAGAACAAGTTCCTATATACATCTAGAAGTATATACTGTTGCGTTTTACTATATTTTACTGCAGTTCGTCATCGAACACTTTGCTGTCAGCATTTGGACGAATTTTACAAATTATGATCAGTGTACTTCTTTCTTCCTTTGAGTTTCCTACCCAACCGTCCCTTGTGATAAACGTGATTGCTGTTAGTAATCGGAAATGAAATAAAAGTCAACTACTAGTCAAAAACTGAACTTTATAAGCATCACAAATGGAGAGCTGGAGAAGTTCAGAATATAACAAATTTATGAAAAAATTCCGTGTTTGCTTATTCAAAATTCAAACCCTCGAAAAAAAATGCTTCATATTTTTCGAACCGACCGTGTTATAACCTTCAAAATAACAATTTGCTTCTCGCTGTGCGCTAGATGATAATGATACCGACTCCTGCGGAATGGATTTTTCGAAAGAAAATAAGTTGTTAACACAGTTTTAACTTATTATTTAGTGCCTACCCTTTTTAACGACAGGGTATACATTGTGAAATATAACTTCAATGATGCTGAGATAATTGCAAAACTCCGGACCGCAGGACCCCCTAGATCAATCCCGCCGACGGGTGATTGCTGATGGCAAAAATCGATAGAACTAGCTAAGAGACAGGCGGAACGAAGGACCAGCGTGGTGTGGTGGTAAACGCGCTACTCCCCGGAAGGGACAATAGCGCGTTCGTTCCCCACCGCATACACCTGCGGTCCGGAGTTTTGCAAATATCTCAGTCATTTAAATTAAGTTGTTATCATTTAATAACTATATCAGCAACCATCCATTACAAAAGAGCACTGCCGAAGGAGGTTGCGTCATTCAAGTAGTGTTTCACCGAGGAAAATTCGCCTCGATACGACGACGAAGAGAACACATCGAGAAGGCGAACGAGTGTGAACCATCGACTCGGATCACCAACTCCGCGGAAGAAGAGACGTCGAAACGTCATCCCTGTAAACCTCTTAATCAACCTCGTATTAGTTTCACAATCCAGGAAAACTCTCATCTTTAATCGTGGTATAATATGAGACTTAGTTTTTGTTGGCGAAAAAT